AAGGTGCAAGCCAGGGCTTGCCACGGGCTCCTAGGGGAGCCACTCACTTGCCCACCCCACAGCTCCCACCGGATTCCCCCCCGCCGCGACCCAAGAGCTCGGCCTGCGCTCAGCGGATCGAGACCCTTCACTAAATATCCAGTGCGTGACGAGAACAGGCTTTAAAACAACGCTTTAAAAAGAAAACAAAGAAAATACAAATCTCTCCTCTCCTCCCACCCGCAGAAGGGCCGGGAGGGAGCTCGGCGCTACGCTCTTCTCCAGCTCAGCCACAAATCCTCCCGCAGACCCCCTGCCCGCATCGGCAAGGTGCCCACCTCGTCCCCGGCCACGCCGGTGAGACTGTTTCGGGCCACCCTAGGCAGGGTTTCTCCATTCCTGGCCCCACCGATTTCTTCTCCCCAGAGCCCACGTGAAAACCAGGGAGGAGGTAAAGCGTCTGCTGTGCAGCCCCTTGTCCCCCATCTCACACACACATGCAAGCGTGCACACACACACACGATTATTTTTTTTTTTTTAACCCAAGTGAACATGTTTCCAAAAAAAAAAAAAAAAAAACCCCAACAAAAAAAAAGCAAATTAAACACAGTAGTAGAGTTGATTTGTTCATTAGAGTTTATCAGAAAATTTCTGCGGCTTGAAAACAAACTCCTCTTTCGACTGTTTGATGTGCCTTCCACAAAGCCAGGGAGGTGGGGACAGCTTTTACCTCTAACAGCTTAAATGAGGTCAAAAGGAGCAACCTAGCAGTTGAAAAATAGAAAATTTGCTAGAGAAGAGAAAGGGAAGAGCTTCTTCTTGAATTCCCAGTTACATCAATGCCTTGCAGGAATTAATCTGAGTGGTTGTGTTGCCTATGTTTTTGAGACTTTATCTCCCTCTGCAACATGACTTCTCTTGACACTATTGCAACGTGCACATGCATTAACTTGCTGTTGGCATGCTTTACTTTTTGCCTTCCATCAAAAAAAGAGAAAAATTAACATAAGCAGCACCACATTTCCCAAGTGTCAGGAGCTCCAGAGCTGGAGCAGAGGCCTGGAACACCCCCACATCAAAAGAAACCAACCCCACTTTGGCTGGGGGTCGGCCGATAAAGACGCTTCCGAGGGGACGGTGCTTTGCCGCTGGGACGCGAGGCGAGAAGGGGCCGGGGAGAAGGAAGGAGGACAGTTCTGTCATTTATAAGCAGCACCACATTTCCCAAGTGTCAGGAGCTCCAGAGCTGGAGCAGAGGCCTGGAACACCCCCACATCAAAAGAAACCAACCCCACTTTGGCTGGGGGTCGGCCGATAAAGACGCTTCCGAGGGGACGGTGCTTTGCCGCTGGGACGCGAGGCGAGAAGGGGCCGGGGAGAAGGAAGGAGGACAGTTCTGTCATTTACTGAAGGAGAGGAAATGGTGACAGAGGCAGATGTACTGACACCAGGCGGTCGGCTCGGCCCTCACATGGCAGCGCGGGTGGGCGTGCTGGGCTGGTTCAACCGCAGCGTTTTGCACAGCCAGCCGGCGAAATCCACCTCCTCCACTTCGGAGCGTTTGATGAAGGTGTGACTCTGCAAGCGAAGGGAAACAGGGTTAGGAATATCACCCCCTGCTCCCCGACTCCCAAAACCCAGCCCCGTGCCCTGGGCTAGACCCCGCAGAGGCGAGAAGATCCTGGTGCTACAAGCTCAGGCTGCTCTCAGGCAGTGAAAGTGGATTTTGAGGAAATATTTGTCCCTTGCAGCCCTGTGGTTGGGATTTTAACCCGTGCTGGCCATGTAGTCGACACACAGCCATGGCAGCAAGGGAGATTTAAAGGCGAGCAGAGCCTGCACAGCCCCTGCCTGCGAGCAGAGCACAGCGCTGCTCCGACGGGCAGGAGGAGAAGGTGCTGCAGCTCCCGCAGGCCCCGTGGCCCTCGTTTGCCCCGGCTCCCTTTGGGGCAGAAGGTAAGGGAGAAGCACAGGTAGGACAGGACAACCTTGCAGCAAGAGCACAGGGCCACAAGGACACAGGCCACCACCTTTGCAAGGGCTACGTGGGAGCACCCGAACGTAGCTCAGGGGCTCAGCAGGATGCTGAGGAGTAAAGCCCAGGTCAACGTGGTTAAACTGGGCTCACAGAATGGTTTGGGTTGGAAGGGACCTTAAAGGCTGTCTAGTTCCAACCCCCCTGCCACGAGTGGGGGTGTCTTCCCCTCAAGCAGGTTGCTCAGAGCCCCCTCCAACCTGGTCTTGAAGGTTTCCAGGGACGGGGCAGCGACCGCCTCTCTGGGCAACCCTTGCCAGTGTTTCACCACCCTCACGGTAAAGAATTTCTCCCTAATATTTTATATAAATCTACCCTTTCAGTTTAAAACTGATACCTCTCATCCTACCAAGAGGATCAAGAGTCCCCTCCCCATCTCTCCTGTAGGCCCCCCTTGAAGTACTGGAAGGTCTCCCCACAGCCTTCTCTTCTCCCGGCTGAACAACTCCAAGTCTCTCAGCCCATCCTCATAGGGGAGATGCTCCAGCCCCTGATCATTGTTGAGGCTTGAGCAGGTCCATGCCTTTCTTGTGCTGGGGACCCCAGAGCTGGACGCAGCTCTCACCAGAGCGGAGCAGAGGGGCAGACTCCCCTCCTTTGCCCTGCTGGCCACACTGCTTTCGACACAGCCCAGGAGACCGTTGGCTTTCTGGGCTGCAAGCGCACGTTGCCAGCTCATACTCAGCCCGTATCTTCATATTCATTTGCCTGGCTTGGGAGGCAAAGGTTTGTCCCGGACACCTCTGCAGACACGGGACAGCTGGGCGGTTCCCTTCCCCGGCTCCGATACCATCACTGCCTTTGAATCAAAGGTGAGTCACTCCCCCTCCCGGGCTCTATTTGGCTCATCTTAAGCTCAGCCTGGGAGTTTCCAGCCTTTTGAGCAAGAGGATGGGGCAGCAGTTTGCAGATCTGGTGCCACCCCACTGTAGAAAGAAAATTGCTCTCCCCACTTACCATCAGCATCTTCAGATCTGCCCGTTCTGCTGGATTTTTAATTAAGCTGAAATGAGAAGAGCAAGAGAGCAAAACCAACACTGAGACATTTCTTGTGGGAAACCAGTTATCTGGCTGGAGAGGTCTCCAGCTTCACCAAAAGGCACTTGGCCTCCTGGCTGCTTTCCCCAGGAGCCTGGCAGCATGGGAACAGCTCAGAAAGCATCATCTCCAACAGCCCAGCTCCTAGGGAGAGCTGCAGGATCCGTCTCTTCTAGACCGCGTGGATGAACTGCGCCCTGCAAATGGGAGAAAAGGACCTAACGCTTGGCAGGGATTAGTGATTTTTGAAGTGTCCAATCTCTGTGATTTAACATCTTCAGGTGTTCCCCCCACCGCATCAGAAGGTCTGGAAGTCGATGGTGTACGCCTGGTGCCTGCAAGGCTGTGGGGTGACTCACAGCCCCAGCAATCTGCTCCACCATCCCCCTGCCGGGCTCATATTTAGAAGGTGCCGGGATACTGCAAAGCATCCCCACAAATAAACTGCTTTTATTTCAAACCCTTTCCAAGGCAGGAGTTCCCAGCACAATGTGGGATCAGGCTGCAGCCAGGGAGAGATCACCCTACAGAGCGTGGAGAACATTGAGTGACGCTGAAAACATTTTGGGTGGCGCGGCAGCCTGCAGAGCTGTCAGGGAGCACATACAGGCCTCCGCCTTCAGCCATAAAATGAAATCCTTACCATTTATTTACAAACTCCTGGAAATCTTGCGTGAAAACTCCATTCGGCAGCTTGGGAGGTGGCTGCAGAGAAAAGGAGAAGGGTTTTCTGTATCACTGTGTGTTAATGGGTCAAAAAAACCAGTCTTTAGCGAGCTGCAGAAAGGCTGTGCTCTACAGCTATCCTCCCCCAAGCTGCCCTTTACAACCAGGGAACTGCTCCCTGCCGTTCCTTACCCTGGCAGCATGCGGCTGAGCTGGCAGCAAACCACTGCCCCAGCACCCCACGCAGCTGGGGGGACCCCATGCATAAAAATCACTGCCAAAAGCAGGGAGACCAAAATTGCAGTGTCACAGTTCTGGATCCAACCTCGCAAATCCCAGCTCTGGCAACGCCTACAGTGGACAAAGCCGTTCCAGAAACGATAATCAGGGGTCAACTCCTATCACCTTGAAAGGGGAAGCTGCTCCTTCCACTTGCTGGTGGGATGGAACCTACCTTGCCAGGCTGGTAGGATTTTTCAGCCTGGGATTCTAGCACTGGTCGCCCTCATTTCAAAGGGCTTCATCTGAGAAAAACGTGCACGCCCTCAGCATCTGCGCAGAGGGAGCGTTCATCCTTTGCTGATCTAGGGAGGAGCACGTTTGAAATGGCTGCAGAGGAGCGGCTCATTACAGCCAAGAGCTCCCCTCGCTGCTCTCCCCTTTCAAGGGTATCCTGAACTTCCCCCTGCAGAGCCTTACTCCAAAATCAGGGATACTTCTGAGATACAAAGAGATGAGAAGAGGGAACAGGGAAGGAGGAAAGGATGTCCGTGCAGCTCAGAGGGGCTCTCTATCGAAAAGCCCCCACTCAAGCAAAGATTTCGGAGCCCACCCTGACTCAGAGTGGACACGACACTGCGGTACCTCAGGGAAGCCTGGCAGAGCCGATGGGAAGGAAATACCCACCTCATTAACTATATAATCCAGCAGTTCAAAGATGGCCATTGCAGGCCGGCTGTCCATCCCATGGCCTGCATGATTAAGATAATAAAAAAAACCAGTGGTGAGAGGCTGTTCAGGAACAGCAAGGAGCCTCGTTTTGTGTGAAAAGCATGTGTGCTGTGGGACTTTTGCTGGGAGAGGCAGAGGCAACCCGCTTGGGAACTGACTCGCGGTTAAAAAAAAATAACAAAGAGAAAATCAAAATGCATTCCGCAATTTCAGATTTCTTTCACCGTGCCTATAGTCCAGATTTATTTCCTAGCTTGGAGCATTTGGAGAGTACCAGCCCATCTGCTGTGGCAGCCTGGCAGCGCTTCTAGAGCCTTCTGCTTCCAAGAAAATGGCTCAAGCGGAGTCTCCTTCAAACACCCGTGCCGGTTTGGTACTTCTACGAGAGCTCCCGGCAAAGCTGTTCCCAAAAAGCTGCCCCTAGCTTGAAAGGAACCTGTTTGAAGCATGGGCAGAGCCTGAGGAGCAATGTGGGCCGTGACAGTGTCCCTCAAAGCGTCTCCCCCAAGGGGTCCACATCCCAACAGCCTGCACCGTCCCCAGCACGGGCTGCTTTGCTGCATGGCTTGAGCCTTCCCCCGGGACACAGCAGGGTCTAAAGGCAGGTAAGCTGAGCTCTTCAAAATCTTAACAGACCCTGGTTGACATCCTGAGAGCAATCTCCTCACCTCCCCATGCCAGACCAGACTCCCGCCGGCTCTCGTTAGGAAGTACAAACCTCTGTGGTGGAGTGGATTCTGCTGAAGCACTGACAGGGCCCCATCTGCTCTGCAGAGAGGGGCCTCCCTTAGGAAAGACTCACCTCCCCGCCACAACCTCATCCGAAAGGGCCTTTGGCTACCCCAGCCACACCAAACAAAGCCCAACCCCTTCTCCCCCACGTCTCCATGTTGTTTCCAATGCATACGACAGCCCCTACCACTGATGGGGCGTCCTGGGGGCCTGGCCCGCGGCGAGATGCTGTGAGACTCTCCCTCTGCCCCGTCCACCACAGGACGGCCAAATATTGCTTCCAGTTCCTTGGAGTCTGGCGGGGGGATTGGGTACCTTCCGATAGACAGCTCCACTAATGACAGACCCATGCTCCAAATGTCGGACTGGACCGAGTAGTGGGTGCCCTGCAACCGCTCAGGCTGGAAGGAAAGACCACAGAAACACACGTTGACACAGAATATCAATACGCAAAGTCATAAATATCACACACTGAAATTAAATAGATGAGACTCGATATCCTGACAGCCTCTCTATCTCAGCTCTCCACCCCTCCGGGGAAAGGACTGTCCCAAAGGGGTCATGGGCAAAGGGGACGCAAAAGAAAGATCATGGGCAAGCATAAAGCACTTGTAGGCATCTAATCAACAGCAACCGTTGAGCAGCATTTACAGCTGCTTATACTTAGGAGTGCAGAGTACACAGTAGGAATCTGTTTCTCTGCATGCTAAGATGTAATGAACTCAATTTATTAACAAAAATTTCTTTTTTCCTGCTCATTCCTGTTAATACCCAAGGGGAATTTGAGGAGCACAAAATCCACTCTAGGCTCTTACCATTGAAATCAAAATTAAAAATAAATAAATCAATGCAAGTCATCCATACTGGCAGCTTTGAGTCAGCTGTGCAGACCCAGTGGCTGAGTGCAAAGGAGATATTATTTTTAAATAGCCACTGCCTAACTATAACTGTACTTGAATAACCATTCCCAAAATATGAGAGCAGCTCAGACCTAAGCACGGGTTCCCTAATAACCGACCACTCGTTCCCAGCCACAGCCACACACGGTGCGGGGAGAAGACCCCCGCCTTACCCCCTGCCTTTCAGCCAGGAGGGGGACTCAGAGCCAGCCAGGATGCAATTTTATTGTTACAGGCACTCTGTTAGCTGCAGTTGAGCTAAGGCCAGTTCAGACTCTCACTTAAAGGACAGGCACAATCAGCTCTTCCCGCAGTTCACTCTCACTGGCTGACTCCAATTTGACTTTAATTCTCCATTAGCCTGTACTAAAACCTAGCTGCACTAAACTGGTTTTATCCCCATTTTGCCAGCAAGCGCGCATGGTCAAAGCAGCAGAGGAGGCGCGTCTACCAGCATCTGCACCCCCGCCGCACCCTGTTTTTTGGGTAGAGCTTTGCATACAGAAAGAGAAGATGGTTTTGAACCCACAAACACTCGCCAAAATAAAATATGGAAGTATTTGGAGGATGCAAAACATCTTTCCCTGCAAGTCTTTGCACTCCCACATGCGTCACTGCTAGCTGGGCACAGGTTGGAGCCAACAGGACACCGACTCCTCGAGAGGATGAGGAGGTGTCTGCTTCTTCAGCACAGGACAGTGCCTCAAAGCACTGGGCTCACCCCTGACATGAGCCAGGAAGGGCACAGTCCAGATGAGGATGGAAACAGAGCAAAAACTGTGAGTGAATCAGATGCTACAAGATGATTCTGGAAGAGCAGAGTTGAACCCAAATTGTTAAAAAAAAAAAAAACAACACCAAAACCAAAACCCAGCCGAAAGTTGAAAGGAACTTACAGACATGTAGGACCGAGTTCCCACAAAAGAGTTTGCCATGGAGTCAATGAGTTGACCGCTGACCCCAAAATCACACAGCTTAATCTCTCCTCGAGAATTAACCAGGATGTTAGAAGGCTTCACATCTGACAACAGCAAGAGAGAAGAGCGTAAACGTGACTCTAGGTAAGATACAGGGCTCTTGTGCTGCAGGCAGTTATTTTTAGGTTCCTCCTCTCACCTCTGTGCATGATTTGGTGCTTCTCTCTCAGATACGCCAAGCCTCTCAGAACCTAGAAGGAAACCAAAGACAGGATGAGATCAGAGCTGGGAAGGGAAGCGCTTTCCCTTCGGCAGGACACGTTGCATAAACTCCGGGTGCTGCCATGCTGCAGCTTGGCGAGGAAGCCGCCCCGTAGCGTCCACTGTCCAGGGTTTGCAATTTATCACCAAGTCAATCACAGATCTTGGGTTAACCACCCGAGAAAGCTTCTCCGAAATCTTCTTTGGGAGAAGTCAGCACCAGCCAGTGCAACGCAAGGGGTCAAAGCTACAGAGTGTGGTTGGGAATATGCTTTCCCCCTCCCCTCTCGCACACACCATCGCCTCTTGCCCTAGGTCAGGACAGGAAAGGGCACATGGGGAAACGAAAGCTTCCTAAGGCAACACAAGCATTATTCCCAAACTGTGCCCAGCAAATCCTTTCTGGAAGCCTGAAGAGCCACAACTCACCGCTATACTGACTTTCCCCAGGATCTCTTCAGGAATCCTTTTGGCTTCCTTCAACACTTGATCCAAAGAGCCGCCATCCTAAAGTAAAGGACATCGAAATGACCAACACGCCCATCCCCGACAGGAAAACAGCACAGCTGGCTGTAGAGGCAGGCGTGCCCAGGGAGGGCAAATGCTAGAAAAGCAGTACATAGCAACCCAGCCGTCTGCAACGACTCAGCATCGAGCACGCTCCTTTTACAGAAAAAAAAAAACCAAACAAAACCCCCCAGATATCTGGTGATCAGAGCTCAAGCTTCTCACTGAAAACTATTTTAATGCTATCTTCTATCAGCTCTGCTTCTTGCCATTAGTTCTTAGCTTCCTTCCCATCAGTGGTAAATGCAAAGATGATGCCGTCAGCACTGATCCGGAGGAGCGACAACGCTATTCTCTGCCAGAGACAACAGAAAATGCACGCTGTTCTTCACGGTGAGCTCTGTAGAGCGGCAGGCTTACAACACTTCCGTTTGGCCAACCCCCAAACCTCTGCTTCCGCTTTCCAAAAAGTCGATCTCGCTGTCATTTTGACGCCTAAGCGGGAGCGAGCAGCTCCTACCAGGAGCACAACAGCCTTGCTGCAGCCGGAGCGAGGAGCCATCGCGGCTGCCAGCACCCTAACCCGTTTCACCTGGAATTTCAAGTCTTGGGGAGATGCAATTCGGAACAGTCCAGGGAGCAGCAGTTTGCAGAGGAGGAGCGGAGACTCACCATGTGCTCCATGCAGATGGAGATCTCTCCGTCGCTGTAGAAGGCTCCATAAAAACCCACGATATATGGGGAATTACACTCATGCAGCACCTGCAGCTCTCGGATAATCTGATTCCTGATGGCTGGTTTGATTTCTAAATGAATCAGCTGCCAAGAAAGAAAAAAAAAAAAATATTCAAGGTGTAATGACTGGGGAAAAAAAAAAAAAAAAAAAAACCAAACCCAAACCTATAGGAACCACATGAGCAAGTCCTGAGTGTCGGAAAGAAACAAAGTCCTCCAGGGAAGCTCTGCTTTGGCGTAGACTTTTTAGGATTTGCAGACTAACATAAAGGATCAAGGGCGAGGTAGAGCCCTGTGCAGCCTGTTAGCGACTGAAGCGACTGCCGGCCATGTAAGACGCGGAGATTGCACAGGATACAGAGTGGAAAGACAAGTCAGAAGTTTGATGCAGATCTGACTCAGCAGACAAGAACATTTTCACAAGTTCTGTAGGTGTTGTAAGAAGAGGTGCTCTGATATCAAGGAAACCACAGAAAGTGAAAAAAACAAAACAAAACAAATGAAGATTATGCACGTGAAAGTGCAGTTGCTTTATTCCTTGGGCTCCACATAGAGTCAGTTAACATAGCTGAAGGTAGGGAAGCCAGATGCTAGAAAATACAAGGGCAGGTCAGAAAAAAGAGCCACTGTTACTGTAAGCTCTAGGACACCCAACCCCAGGGACATCTGTCCTTCCCGGGGGCCTGCAAAGGCCAGTCTCTGCAGGAAGGACAGCACTGCTGCAGCTTGCCCTCGCTTCAGTTTCTGAATACAGAGCTCCCAACAGTCTCAAAACCACCCAGTGACACCCAACGCTCCCGAATCAAACACCCTGGAATACTCCAAGGGCTCAGCTCCGAGTGAAGCCACCTAGAGCAGCGGATTAGCTCATGGAGACCCACAAAATCATCCCGACAGCAGGTGAGACCAGAGACCTTCAAGGAAGCTGTCCTACAAACGAGCAGTTGCACCGCTCTCGCCAAGCATTGCCTTTTCTGATAGGCAGACGGAGCATCTCCTGGTTTTCTATTATAGAGCACCACAGCAAGAGACATCACCCATAAACCCACATCCGAGACGGATCGCTGTCACTGCTGCTTGGAACTACCTTGGGGATCTGTTACGTGGGTGGTGAGGGGCGAGGAACACGTGCATCAAACTCCTGCCCATGCAGGAACAGCCACCCGTCCCTCCACCTGCCATTTGCAGTCCTTGTTTGCCACAACCTAGGATCCTCAAGAGATCTGTTTCTATCCAGTTTAGCTGAGTTCACTAAAAACAGCTTCACTGGAAAAAAAAAAGAATAAACTTGTGTTTTCACACAAGGCGCTCCAAACCCCAGGGACTTGTCGCAGAGAGCACGGCCTCTCCCAGGGGACTCGGAGACAGGCAGAGCAGCCAGGTCGCTCACAGAGATGGAGCGGGAGAGGTTCCACCAAAAACCTGGGGGCAGCTGGGACCATGGTCCCGACCCCAGTGGGGTGGGTGCAGATGGGTCAGTGCAGAGAAATCCCAACTGACACCAGCTCTCCCAGGGCTGGGGGCAAGTGCCAGACGCTCCAGCACGGCACCACAGCCCATTCCTCCTGCCCCCAATTACCTTCCGTGCCATAATGAGCCCTGAGGGTTTGTGCTGCACTTTGGTGACCACGCCGCCATTGCCAGCCCCCAATTCGGAGATCCTCTCAAAGTCATCGTCCTTCAGCTCGCCCACTTTGGCTTTCTGCGTGAGGAAAGCTTCCAGGCGCTTCTTCTGCTGTTCGTCCAGCTCTAGTTCCTCAAGCTTTTTCTGAAGGTCCACCAGGTTTGCCCTGGAGAGGTGAGGAGGAGACAGGAGGGATGGTCAGGAGACTGCGAGGGCAGCGCCAGAGAAGGAGGGGTTTCTTTTATTAGGGAAGCGGAGGGAAATAACTGAAAAGTGTCATCTGACACATGCTGCTCTGTTGGGGGCTGAGTAAGACTAAAGCAAAGCTCTGGAGAAAGGCAGGGCTCAGCTCTGGTGCTGACAGGGTCACACAGACAGCGAGACCCATGGTGCAATATCTGCCCAACACGCACATCTCCTCTGGAGAGGAGCTTTAGTGCAGTCAGCTCTTTTGGGAAAGCCAAGGAGTAGGGAAAATCCCTCAACCCTTAAAGAGGCAGCACAGCTCAGCCCGGAGAGAACAGCAGCACCAGCAACCTCTCCCCCTCCTGACACAGGAAGCCAAGCTTGGATTTTGCTGTGAAACGTGAGAAGGGCTTTCCAGGGTGTCCAGCAACCCCCTGCTCCGTTACGCCCCCCCC